GTTTTTTGTATAGTGGCTGAAGTTTGGACATTTTAGGTTAAGTTGTTTGTGTCAAAAAACGTTTCATATGGACCCCATGGAAGACATTACGAATAAAATTCATAATTACGCAAGAGTGAGTTGTTGATTTATTCTGTGCAATCATTATATACCATTATATTTTATAGCCCTCTTCAACCCGGTGCAGTATCACTGTTGTTGACAACATCGTGGCACAGAAAATGATTGCCAATGCGTATTCATTTTTCAAGAAGGAAAATTTTAATTTAAGATGCCCTACAGAGGTTGTTACTTCAATATAAAGTAGGTAATGTTATTCAAAGTGTATGTTCCAGTATAGATAATATTGTCTGTTGGAAATAAATTGTGTTATTATTAAAAGTAATTTTACGTAGTTCATTATTTTCAAATCTCCTTATATTTCAAATAAAGCGCCTTTGGCACTACTTTTTATAGCGGTATATTTGGTGACTTTTCTGTCAGCTAATCTATCGGTGGAAATACTATATCTATCTTGTAAATACGAGGTAAACATTTTTATCAATTTTGGAGAAAACCCATATATTTTCTCCAACTTCAAGATTAGCAAGTCATGATCCAGTTTGTCGAACGCTTTATTGAAATCTAAGAAAATCACATCCATTTGTCCCCTGCCATCCAAAACACTTCGTATATTTTGCGTTGACGTGACTAAATTAGTGACTGTGGACCTTCCACTTATAAATTCATGCTGACTGAATGATATTTTATTTTTAATATAGTGACTTAAACGGGAATGGACAACAATTTCAAAATTTCATATCAACATTTGCACAGCTCACAAGACCTTTGACAAAATGCTTAAAGAAAAATGCCAAGAAAATTTTAATCACCCATCCAATTTTTCAAGTCAACCACTAGCTTACGCTTCAAGAACAGTCAATGAGACCGAACAAAAATACTCAACGATCGAAAAATAATTATTAGCAATAGTATGGCCAACAAAATATTTCAGACCCTACTCACAACCTATACATCTCAACGTCTACTTCAATGGCTATTCTCACTCAAAGAACACAATTCAAAATTTGTTCGCTGGAGATTAAAACTAAAACAACACGACTACGACATTGTTTACAAAAAAGAAAAATTTAACACAAATGCTGACTCACTCTTAAGAATACAGATCTACCTTATGGACATTGACGCATGCTCAACTGCAGTTCAACGTTAACCAGATGAAGAATTATAACGTTTACTAAACGAGCTAATGCGGGAAAATAAAAGCCAAAACACAGTATTAAGGACTCCAGAACCAACAATCAGCAACAACGACCTTTCCATTCCAAACTTAATAGACTTCATTCCAACAACCCCTGAAGAATTCTCAATACCAACATTCAGAATGCCAACTCCAAACAATTCCCCAAGACATTCACCAAGAAACCTATCACCAAGTAATTCATACAAGACACAATATCAGCAATTTTAGTAACAAACCCATCCGACACAACAAGTGAACACAGATCAATTATACGCAGAGAATCAGATTTCAGACAAACAGGAAACAGCCAATTGAATTACAACCGATCAAAAAATAGTTAATCTGAAAGAACCATCACTTACACACTAAACACACCATTAGTAACTTCACGACGAGAACATAATGAAACGCCAAGAGCAATCAACTTCTATGAAGATGCGAACCCTTCATGAAGTCCAAAAATTATAAAGGATAACGGAATGATAATAATTAAAGCTCAAATCGCTCAAGACAACAATAATAATCAACAAATCAAAGATCTTTTAATAGATTATAACCCTAATCACAGACAAAAACGAACAGAAGGAATTAATAAGAGATCACCATGAAGGAAAAACCAATCATCGAGGAATACGTGAAACATATACCTGATTACAAAGCTTATACTACTGGCCAAAATTAACCAGAGACGTAGCAGATTACATCAATAAATGCGAAATATGCAGAAGGACGAAATATGAAAGACATCCCCCCGAGATTCTACTAAAACTGACAGAACAAATTGACAAACTCTCTCAACAAACGGACATGGATCTATTTACAGTCGAGGGAACCACATTTTTAACAGTTATTGACGCGTTTACGAAATTAGCCCAAGCATATCAAGTTTCAAGCCAAAACGCCATCGAAATTTGTGACAAATTATTAATCTTTTTCCAATACTATGGAGTACCAGAAAAAATCACCTTTGACTCAGGACTAGAATTTCAAAATGACACCGTGGAAAAACGTTTGGAAACCCACAAAATCAAAGCTCACTTTACAACACCAAGACACTCGCAATCAAGTGGTTTAATTGAAACACTACATTCGACTCTCACAGAACATTACCGAATTCTGAGACAATACTTCAAAGACCCACCAATCACCACCATCCATTCCGTTACCAGTTATACTCCACTTGAATTATTATTAGGATACACAGCGCCACGAAACCCTTTTGATATTTACCACCACACCACACTCGATAATTCCAACAGTACAACATCGATCACAAAAATCGAATGAAATTAATCTACCAGAAAATCGCCGAAGATATGCAACCGCATAAGGAACATGTAATTGAAAGGCGAAACAAATAACCCAATCAAAATACGTTCGTAATAGGACAACAAGTTCACAAGAAAAACCCCCAAGCTGACCGAAATAAATCAAAAAATCGATATTATCATTATCGCAATCAATGATGATAACACATGCATGATACGCTCACAAGATCAACAAACCAAGAGAGTACACATGGATAATTTAAGACCTCCTGCTCCAGGATAATCATCAAGATCTGTGGATCCAACCAACTTCAACCACAGATAACAAAAATTACCGAAAACTGTGTACTACTACCCCAAAATTTAGATATTGCCAGAAAGATAATCGATCATTGAACATTCATAAGAATATTCGACATAGAAATGCTTATTAGTGAATATGATAATCTCCGTAGACACGCAAGAGAATCAGAAAATAATTTCAATAATACAAATAATCCCACACGTTTACATAAACTCAGTTATTTCCCGAAACAATATCAAAAAACTATCGAAGAACCAAAAGAGGCCTAATCAACTTCTTAGGTAGCCCTGTAAAGCAAACCCAACAAGATAAACAGAAAATTCTCCTTGATGAACAAATCTCCCAAACTACCACGGCAATCGAAAAATTCAACAAATATTCAAAAAGAAGATCACCGAAATCGAATCAATCATCAATTGAACTATTTCCATGAAAATCGAAATTTACCCATTTCTGCATCTGCACACAGTTTTTCTCCAAATGATCACCATATCGCAGGACATATTAAGAATATTAGAAGAACTTGAAACAGCAATCAGCTTTGCAAAATTGAACACAGTGCACAATTCAATAAATAATCAACCCAAAGGTCCTGCTAAGTGAACTAAAAATAGTAGACAATAAACTCGACGAAAAAAGCCTCTCCTGCGAAGCCAACGAAGCAAATCTTCTATCCTACGAAAGGACAATTCAAATTAGTACTTATCAGAAAGGTCTGCATATCATGTTCATTTTTGAGATACCTCTTAGCGAACCTCATAATTACAATTTTTACCAATTAAACCCATTTCCCATTCAACCTGATTCCAAAACTTACCAAATCATTATACCGTCCCACAAATACCTCTATCTTAACGAGATTTACTTCAGTTTGAACGACGTTAAATGTAATGAAGTCACCCCTGGAGACACAGACCAGTAAAATTTCCAAAGAAGCATCCCGTGAAATTCAACTACTCAAATTTTCAAAGAATTACCAGCAGTGTGATATGATCAAATTCAACCTCAAAAACATGAAAATTAGAAAAATAGACAAAAACCAATGGATTGGAATATTTTCATTTGAACAACCAGCCACTTCAACATGCGGACAACAGGACGAAGACCTATCAGTAAAAGGAAGTTACGTTATCACTGTCCCAGTGGATGTAAACTAAAAATCAACTTCTCGACCCTTCACAACTACCAGAATCCTGAATTTAAGAAACAGTTGATCCAAACATCGAAATTAGAAATCTCATCCAATGCACCACTCAAAGCACAAATCTGGAAACAAGAACCGCAACAACTCGACGCAATCGACTTGGCAGACATTGACCCAATTTACCACAGGATGCACGAGATACAACACGATCTCCAAAAAGAGGACCATGGATACGTTACATAATCCACTAGTGTTTGGACAATTTTAATCTAGGTATATCTTTTTAGTTGTTACAGTAATCGTTTTCATTTGGCACAAGTGTATAAGGTCCCGAATTTATAGATATCGTTCCCGATGGTTGTTAGGGCCACCACCGGAAGACTTTTGAAAATTCGACATCATAGGCTCCCCTAATTTTCGTTCTAACGAGGGAGGTATTAAAGTTCTTTTTAAAAACAAGTTTATTTTTATTAAACCAATGAACTTAACTAGGTATTTGTTATTTTTATGAGTAATTCAAGAATAATTCCGATAATGACGTGAAGGTTACAATCTGATTTCTGTCGATAAACATTGCAGGTATTGCATACAGGAAACTTGAGATTAATACAAACGTCATTACATTTTAATCGTGGTCTTACCTCAGAAATTTTTTGTAGATGATTAGATTTCCTTGCTGATTAATACTAGATGTATTATACTATTTAATACACAAGAGACATTAAAAATAAATTTTGTTTTCTAGCGCCGTGATTTTTGTGATTACTGTGTATTCCTCAGCAGCGTCCAAAAAGGTTGGATAAGAGAGTTTAATTTTCCTTATAATTTTGGTAATACGAACAAGGATTTTCAGACTTCGAGACACATTGTAAAGTAAAGTCACTTGACATACACCTTGTAAAACTTTTATGACTTAAGCGGCTTAAGTCAAACCACCCTTATAAGTCAAACTGGCTTCGAATTCGCTTTCTGTGTAGTAAATACTTATTAAATTAAGTGACGGGAAATTTATTGTGAATAGGTAAATAACATCGAAAATACTTGTAGACAACAGTTCACTCTATTCAAGTCAAGATTAAAAGTTATATATTTTTAACAATTTTTATTAAACAAAACTCAAAAAAAGTAATAATATTAACAAATAATATAATCCTACTTATTTATGGGTTTTCATTTTTGTTACTTTCAATGACATTATTAACACATTCTTGAAATCCTTCGATGACACCTTCGTCATAAACATTGTTCCGAGTAGACAATGTGTTTATACAAAGATCAACATCCTCCATAAACAATTGTAGTTTATTCTCACTTTCGTGTAGGTTAAATTTGATTCGACTTGGTAGTACCAGCACGACCTCTTTCACTTGTAGTAGAATATCTTCCAAACAATCTACGTCGTCCGAATCACATTCCATAACGTCGCGGTCAACTTTATATGGTATTTGCAAAAGATTATCTATAAAAGTGCTGTGGTCGTTGTAGATTTGGTTAACAAACGTGTCAATTTTATCTTTAACGCATTGGTCCAGCTGAGATAGTATGCCATCTGCATCTATGTACTCAAAATATTCCCCACACACATCGACATCGATTCCCTGTGCCTCTGCTGATTCCCTGATGTTTTCATATTTTTCAGAATTTTTCTCGTTGCTTTGTTCAATTGCTTGAGCGGCTTTTAGTACCTTCTGCGGTATGAGAAGAGTAGCAGTGTGGGATATGTTTTGGAATACTGGGAAACCGGAGTCTACTCCGGTGCGTACTATTTTTCTTACTTCGCTGATCAAATTTTGCAGTTCTTGTGGGTTAAATGAGGTTGCATCATATGTCACAAAGCACTGGAAAAATAATAATTAAAATGTATAGTGTACAAGTATTTTTTTATAAAACAGAATTACGTACTTGTGTTGCGATTAGAGCATTAAATAGGAGTGCAGTCTTGAACAACATGTTGTTATTTAGAAGATGCAGAGATCTCATACTAGCAAATGCAGTGTATGTGAGTGGATCTTTATATTGGAAGGTACTGACGAATAGGGATCAATTGATATGAACTGATAAACATCTGATTCATCGTGGAATCCCCAGGTATAAAATTTTGTTTGTTACTCTACTTATCGCAGCTTCTAAAATAATAATTTATTACAGGGCACAAATCCATGTACTTTCATTGTCTTTTTGAAATCTTTAATTTCTTCTCAAATTCGTACTTAAAGACTACAGAAAGATGTGCAAAAACGTGGTATTTATATATTATGTATTTCACAGTTATGATTTTTCATATGAATCAATTGTACTATCCTTTGTTTGTTTCTTATCAATATTCGCATATTTTGAGATAGGCAGTTCGATATTTGAAAATGGTACTTTATTGACGGAAGAGTGAAGAATTTTGTATCTACAGGATGTACTAACGCATGATAAATGGTAATACAGGTTGTAATAAACGAGTGAGAAACAAACAAATGTGACTTTTTTAACACACCTAATTTTTTAGTCTGGAGATTTTTTCTTTTTCCAGGAAAATTTACACTAGGGTGGTTTCTAGATCGAAAGTAAAGCGTTATATTCTAGAATTTAATTTAAAATTTGTTGAAGACAAGAAAAGGTTTTATCTGAAAGCGTGAATTCGCTATTGTACGACACTTTTGTTCCTAGAAAAATGTGACGTTCATTGTTTCATATTTCACAATATTATTAATATTATTTACGTATGAATGACGAAATAGAAAAATTGAAAAACCGAAAAATTGAATTCCGAAGAATCGAAAAATGGAAAAATCGAGCATTGGAAATATCATAAAACGGAAAAATTAAAATATTAAAAATTTAAAAATCCAGAAATCGAAAATTTAAAAAATCGAAAAATTTAAAAACCTGGAAATCGAAAAGCCAACATTTAAAAATTCGCAAAAATTGAAAAATTGGCAAACTGGAGAATCGAAAAACTGAAAAGTTGACATATTGAACGGATTTTTCAACTGGTCTTGACCAATTTCCATATTGTATATCGCTCCTCTTAAACTTGTTTATAATATTGTCAAAATAAGTTTTGACAGTATTATAAATTCATTAGACAAAGCAAAAGTGTCTCTTATTTTTTATTATTACTACTTACAGTTGAATTAACAAAAAAGACAATTTTTCATTACTCCACAATGTATCTATATCTAAACCAAGAGGATAATTTAGTAAACACGTACATTCTGGCTTTCCTACTTATTCTGGATACATGCTTTTACCTGGATTCCACTGCGTTTTCCAAAAGGATATCTCATTTTCATCTTCCAAATATTGACAAGATTTAAAGCCCAAACTTTCAAACAGTTAATAGGTTGTTGGTTCTACACTGAATCATGTTCTAATGCAGATGTCTAAATCAGCGAATAAGTACAAAACTTCAAATATTTTGAAATTCACCAACTCTCGTTATTCAGAGAATCGCAATATTAGTGTTAGTATTCTACTAATGTGCCCCGTTCTTCCACGCAGTATTTTTGTGGTAATTTAACATAGAAAGTAATAAATGATATCATCAGATAAAATGTCTGTAACGATATCGATACTCTTCCTAGGCAGGTACCTAATCTACCTGACCGTGCCAGCTACTAATCCCTTACCTCGTCCGCAACTTATGGATGGGCTTAACGACCCCTGCAAAGCTGGTCCTCAATTTAGGTGCACCTGTTTGCCAGCACTATACCTCAGTGCTTATTATTAAATAAAATACGGATACTTATTATGAATCCACGATACCGCTTCTTTCAATTTGACTCGGTGAAATTAAAATTTTTCAAAATGTATTCAAATGCTGAGAAAGTGGATTTGATACTGATTTATGCCGAATGCAGAAAAAACGCTGCTCGTCTAAAAAAAATTAGGATGTATTAGCGATGCACCGACTGAGCTAAAAACATTTTTGGGTCTGGGACGCCTTTCAAACCACTGCTAAAACGTTTTGATCAAAAGAATAAAAAAAAAAAACGTTTTCTTTTGTTCAGTTAACGTGATGGATTTTCGATGTTGAAATCTACAATTCTGAGTTTTCGGAATTTTGTCAACTTGCAAACTTGGCGGTTCAAAAATTAGAAGGAATTTAATTATTATCAGCATCAAAAGTTGCGTTCAAAAAAATAAACTTTTAAATTTGTCTAAAATTTAAGCTGATATAACGTGTTTCAAAGAAATGATAATGAGTTATATGTATATAATTAACACACAATAACAGTTAGAGATTCGGTAACACAATTGTTACAAAATCTGATACTTCGTTGCGTTCAGGAAGATCATGAAACAATTATTGGTGACTAGCACTATTCTTAAATATTTCTTTTCCGGTGGACCAAAATTGAGGACAGGTCTGCAGGGGTTGTTAAGCCGATCCATAAATTACGAACTAATGAGGGATTAGTACTTTAAATTTAGATTTAGTACTTGGTAGCTAACTAGGAAGAGTACCGACATCGCCTATAGACAGTATCTGATGAAATTAGTTATTTATTACTTTCTAACTTACTAGGAGTATTTAATTATCGCTACTGCTAAAAAATAAAAATTCCCGAAAATGGAAATTCCCATACAATCTCTTCAAGAATAAAAATAGGAAAAAAATTGGGGACGACGTGGGTGCAAATTTATTATCTACATGGCCCGAGTTCCAAAATTTTGGAAGGACCCACCACTTGGTACTAGATAATTACTATGAACAGAATTATGTTAAGATTGTATATTATGTACATCCTTATAATATTTTTGTTTTTATTTTAATAAATAATAGTTTTTAAGGTGCTAAAAATTTTATTTAAGTACAGTTACAAATACAAATGATTTCCGAGTAGAAATGGAAGAATGGTCAGGAGGTCAGTTCTTAATATTTCTCAGGTAAAAGATGTCCGAAAAGGTTTAAAAGACTACTGCTCCTCAATTTATGTACACCCTTCTTTTCTTAGTTGAATACAACAGGTAGTATTAGGACTATTAAAAGACAAAGGGTTCATTCAGTTTATGACGTATGTACACTTGTTAGAAGGCTGATAGTCTTATTGGTGAGTTTGTCTTTGAAAATTGGGTATAAAAGGCTGTAAACTGCCCACATTATTTCAGTTCGAGTTCGAGAGAGGAGCCGTAAAGATGTAAGTAGAAAAATTCTTGCCACGATATACATTTATACCAAGTCCGGATTATTCAACATATATTCTTTCTTTCAGGACGATGGTACCAGATGACCTCAAATGTCAAATCCTGCGGGAACTTAGGCACGACTTACGTAGAAATTGGAGATTGGAGATCCGGAACCTCGAGCGGATCAGTGTAACTTTGATCGAGTCCCAGGAGAAGATTACCGACTACTTCCACTGGTGGCGGCATCTGCACCCTCAGGGGCAGATCTATGATGTGTATATAAAGTGGGAAAACAGAATTAGTGTCGAAGTTCAGTTTGTGAAAACAATATCAATGAACTGAAATAAAGTCATAACGAAACTTTTATTTAGATAGTCGTATTGTATTGTATATATAAATTTTATCTATACCATGTAATTTTGTATATTTTTTTTAACAAAAATAAAATTTGGATCCAAATTTTTATAGTAAGTTTCCTTTTTCGGATGAGGCTACTTTTCTAATAGAGGTGGTGTTAACAATCTGCATAACTATACGCCAGAAAACCGCTAGTGGATTCGTGAAGGGCATTTTCAAACAGAGTTTTCAACGGATATTTGGTGTGGAACAGTAGGAAATCAGATTGTTGAATTACCACTGTTTATAGATGGTCCTTTTTTCATTATCATAGCATCGCTCGGGATTACCTTGACATTATTTTACTTAATAGGTGGATAGGAAAGTGTTCCCCAATCCTTCACCACCGCGAAGCGCAGACTTTGTACCCTTCGATTTTTTTCTATGGGGTGCAGTTAATGAGCAATTGTACCAAGTTAATAGTGTCGAACATTTTGAGAATAAAGTAATTAATGCAGGCAGATCTATCACTCCAGAGACATTAGTTCGAATCAAGAAGTAATTTTTGGAAATAATTCTTAAAAGTGTTACTTTTTAATGTCATGTAACCTAAAAATTTACTTTAATTAAATTTAGCAATAAACATCCAAGCTACTCTTGAAAATGTGTTGCTGCTTGAAATTTAAATTTTGAAGGCTCATTATTCCTCATGAATAATACTGTATGGAAATAATTGTTTCAAATAAATCAAAGACTTTGTCAGGTACTTTGTCTAAAAAGAAATTTTCAGATAACAAAAGACGTTTTGCAGCATAAGAATCCAGATATCGTCGTTAGTGTTATACTTTCAGATTTAATTAAATATTAAAAGTACAGGTAAGCTAGTTTATTCCAACCAAGCGACTCAAGAAATTTATAAAACTAGAAATAGACGATTAACATTATTTTAATAGTTATTTACATAAGATTCAGAAAATATTGCATTACGGGCGAGGAGTTATATTGAAATACGAGGCACTTCGTGTCGAGTATTTTAAGGTTGCGTGTCACGTTAGACAATTTACTGACAAGTTCATGTAAATATTTTTTTGAAATCGGCATTTATCGTAAAAATTTATTGCAAAACTTTTAAAGATAAAGATTTCCTATAAATATCTAGTAGTGAACTTCGCAACTGCGTTCGTTACTAAGGCCTAAACTAATGGAAGTTTTTTAAAAATAGCTAATCATCATCTTGAAATATATAAAAGCCATGTTTTCCAACAAAAAATTCGACAATGTTTTCGGTAGTATTTATAAAATTTTATATGCTGAAAACATTGATGATACTTCCCAAATTTCCGTAAATTGATTTTCAAACATACGTCCTGAGAAATTGAACATTTTAAGATTTACAACGCTCCACCACAAAGACCGTAAACTGACCCGTCGGAGATTTGTGATGAGTTGATGAGAATAGGTCATTTTGACTTTCACAATAATAATGTAAGGGATGAAAAACGCTCATGGGCGAAGTAAGTTCTGACTAAATAACTTGATAGCAATTTTTTGTTGAA